AAAAGAAGAAAACCCCCCAAAAAGTCCGCAAAGCAAACACAAAATGACCTTTGAAAACATTCTAAGGTTTTGGTGTTAACCCTTAAGTGAGTTACCTTTGGTGCACGACCTCTTCTCCCATCTTGTGAGACACTCTGAAGTTTTTCAATTAGTGGAATTGCAAAAGAAAAGGTTTTCCCAGTTCCTGTTCGAGCTTGAGCAATTAGGTCTTTTCCATCATATATAGGCTGAAAAGTCTTTGCTTGCACAGGGAACAGGTATTTTACACCACGAGCTGCAAGATAATCCAAAGAGGTTTCATGAAAAGATGCTCATTTTACTGCAAGCTGAACAATCAGAAGCCTTCATATATAACAACCCTAAGTGTGGAGGGCACATCCTGTCAAATCCTGTACACAAAAAGATGTGCAACTTAGAACAAAACCACAGATTTGTTTTTACTCCTAGTGTAGATCAATAGGTATCCGTGTATTCACGATGGATATATAGTATCCACAATGAAATACAGCTGATTTTGATGTTTGGCACAAGACAAGAAAAGCAGAAAACACAAAACAACAACATGTTTTTTTCTGATACAGCCCAAGATTTTGTGGTAGCTTGGTCTTGAAGGAAGGGAGATGAGGTTGTTTGTTTCCAAACGTTCTACAACTCTTGAGAGATTTTGCACACTGGAAGTGAAACAAACCTTCCAAGAGAAACTTCTGAGCAAGGAAAATGTAAAGGAACAAAGAGAATTTTGTCTGAGGAACAAGAATCACACAGAACAAGAACTCTACAGTGATTACTTAGTCAACAAAATTAATTCAGAAGAGACATGAAAATACCCCAAAAGTGTGAGAATAATCACAATCTGTTCACAGGAGCCGAACAGTCCTCACACACAAAGCACCAGTACACTTATTTAAGAAGTGATACTGTAGACAGCAGATATGGGAATTGAAATTTATACTCAATAAGCAGGATGATGCTGATGAGAAGAGAAACCCTGTCTCTGCAATGTATATCTAGGAATAACCAAGGAACAATAAACTCACCTTAAGGCACTTGAAATTGAAAAAAACTTTGTTCCTCCCAACAACAGCAGCAGCAGCTTTGAATCTACAGTGACTGCTCATGTACATAGTCTTACCACACAATAAATGTCAGACAATTGAGGACAATTTACCCTTTTCTTCTGTCTCTCCTTACACAGGTAACAGAGTGCCTATATCCTGGACAAGCATTTACAGAAATCTCTTTTACCACATTAACTAACCTTTGAGAAGGTCGATGGTGTTTTGGGAGAGAGGAAAATTGGAGAAGGCTCCTTCTTTTTCTTCTTCTGTCAGCTCCTAACAGGATAAAAGAAAAAAAAAATTAGTCCTAAGAGATAAGCAAGTTTAGGCAAGCACAGAAGAAAAACTGTGCATTTGCTTTGCCACTGCAGTTTTACCAGTTATCTCCTTTCTGCTTAATGGGAAATAAAACCCTCGTGATGCAGGTACTTCACAAACAAAATCATCATCACAGCATAAAGCAGGAAACTTTTAATCCAGCCACCCTGTATTAGAAGGCAAGACACAGTGACACAGGCTGCACCACTCAGTGACAGAATTCCTATTAGTGAATCCTGTTTTTACATCAGTCTGAAGTAGAGACTTCCTCCAAAAGGTCTTTGGCTCTTTACTTGAAACAACTTGTTCAGTCTCATCCCTAATTCAGTTAAATCTGCACAACTTTTTAAGACCCATGGGAAACAAGAAGGACCAAGTGCCCCCTCAGTGAGATCTTACCACATCATGGACTTATGCTTGCCAAGTCAGGAAAGGGACTTTTAACTACTTCTTAAAAATCTTAACTGGAGTCCACTGAAATCATTAAAGAGATGGTTTTCACAGCAAAACATATTTGATGTGACAATTCACAGCGTGAGGCGGGAATTTCCCTCTAAATCACACCTACTTGGCAGACCACAGAAACAGCTTCTCAACTTTGCACACCAGGAGATACTTTAAACTCACTATTTAGCTTCTACTTCAAAGAGCCAAGACATCACATCATTACACCCAACGCAGAGAAAGCCCTCTCTTGATTCAATCTCCTCTTAAAACACAAGGGAGAGCACTACCCACAGGAGGCCCTGCACAGATGCACAAGGCCAAGGGTGAAATTTGAACCAGAATAACTCCAGATGTGGGAATTCATGAAGATAAATGTGTCCTTCTCTTACAGGACACCTCATCAAATTACTTCTTCAAAGGGCCAGCCAGCAGAGAAAGCACTGTCACGCCACACAGCAGTGCACGTTTCTGGGGTGGCAGGGAAAAAACCTTGGGCTTCAGGACACAAAACAAGTTGCTACACGAAGACAGGACAGCACGTGGAAGCTGCCATCTGCCAGCTGGCCTCCTCCACTACCCCTAATCCGAACGGCATTTACCACGGGGGAAAGGCACATGGAGAGACACACACCACGTGCTGGTGCACTTCCCTCCATCGCCTGCAGCTTGGGCAGAACCGGGCTCGGTGCCGGGCACCTCCCGATGCCACGACATGGTAAATCCAAGGGGAACAGCTGCACACGCTGCCTACAACAGCAGCCTGACGCTCCAGCACAGCGCCTAGGAGGTGTTATGAAGCCCACTCGTTAGCCGTGGGACTTGAATCCCGTAAGCCCAGGGCTCCCAGGGCAGAGCGTTACCTCCGCATCGCTCTCCTGCTCCTCAGCACCCGCCTCCCCAGACGCGCTCCGCGCTGCCAGGGATGTCACACCGCTCCTTTCGGCAGAAGTCGCTTTCACCGCATGCTCGGAACCGTCGCTCTCCCCAGTCAAACCGCTGCTCTTGACTTTTTTCGTCTTCTTGGGCAGCGGGGGCTCAAGGTCCCCGTCGCCCAGGCCGCTCTCCTCGGGCTGGCTCTGCTCACCCTCGGCCTTGCCGCGCCGCTTCGCCTTTTCGCGCCGCTTCAGCTTCTTCTCCGGGGTCTCCTCCTGCCGAAGGAAAGCGGGCGTTACGCGGAGGAACCGCTTCCCTCACCCTTACCTTTATTCCAAGCCCGCAGCCCCTCGCTCTGCCCCTCCCCG